ATTTCTTTCTTCTTTCTTTCTTTCTTTCTTTCCTTCCTTCCCTTCCCTCCCTCCCTCCCTCCCTCCCTTCTTTCTTTCTTTCTTTCTTTCTTTCTTTCTTTCTTTCTTTCTTTCTTTCTTTCTTTCGTTTTGGTATGGGGCTTCTTGCTACTCTAACATTCCCCCCTCTGAAGAGGAAATACTAAAATCTTTTCAGGTTCAGATAAGATTTTCCAAATACTTGTGATGTTTTCAGCCTTTGGAACAGAGGATGTTGCCAAGAGAACCAAGGACATTGTGAGTTTTAGCCAAGAAACTGGTTACTTTTATTTGGGGTCTTTTTACCCCAACTGCCTAGCCAATTCCTGCCTCTTATTCTTATCACATCATCCTCTGAAGAGGTTACCCAAATAGCCAATAAGGATTCTGGATACAGACCGCTCTGATTTCTCCATGCTGAAGAGGGATGCAGGATGATTCCATTGGGGTACGTGTTCAGTGAGTCTATTTAAAAGTCTCCCAAATTGCATATCTCTTATCTGTAGGGAGAAAAGAAAGTCCTTGACTGGTTCCTAGCAGATGTGAAGGAGAAGTAAAGGCAAGAGTATTTAGCATTACAAGTTCTAGACAGGGAACCAGAAAAAAGGCAGAACAGGGAAAATTTCGAATGTTCATATCAGAATCCATTGGAATTTCTTGACAAGAGCTTTCAAAACTATCCCTGTTTTGGATTCCTCCTCATTTTTCTTTTGTCTGCCAAGGCTGGACAGGAGACTGATGGACTCAGGATTTGTTTTCAGGCACTTTGATAGCTGTTGAAGTGGCTAGAATCAGTGTCAGTTCCCTCTCAAAGGCTTCTAGATAGAGGGAGAAAACAAATTTGGCCATCATTTTAGAACAATAGTGGGTTGTCTTCTTATGTACAGGTGGGCACTACTGTATTGCAGACCAAGATTTGAAGTCTTACATCTGAGAACCACATTGTGATTAGAAATAAAACCATCAATGATAAATACTTGTCTAAATAGCATTTTATATGGACTTAAGCCTAAAGTCTTGGAAGTGTAATCCCTTGAACTCTTAAAGAAATATACTGATCACTTTAATCTTTGGTTATACATTCCTTTTGGGTGTTTAAGTCCATACAGTTGACCAAAATAAACCAGTTTATTTTTACTCTTAAGATTGTTTGAAGATTTGTTCCTCAGAGGTCACATGGGCTTGGGAGGAGCCCCTCGATCCTTTTTTCTCCCAGTTCCATCTATGTGAAGATAAGTCAAAGGTCTTACTCAACCATGGCTGGCTTCACTTGGAAGCATGGAGGAAATGTTTTCCCTGTTTTGACCCTCCTCTTTGTAGACTGGAGACTGGTTCAAGCCCACCTGGTGGGGTTTCCATGGCCTCCCTAAACAGAAGGACAGGTCACTCACAACAGTTACAGGACATTTTGAGAGATCTTCTATAATCCCCTGGAACTTAGTTGACCTTGGAGGGCAAGGAATAAAAATTTGTTCTTTAAGCCCCTCTGACCAGATTATGTATGGCTGTTAAGCATGCAAGATGGTTAGTTCCACCAGTCTGGTACTTTTAATTGCCATATGCTATGTAGATAAAGTTTGGGCTAAAACCAAACATGCTCAGATAATACTTGACTAAACTATATGTAGTTTGTTCCTTAAACTAGATGACTAAAGTATGACCTTAAAAATTTTAAGATTATGTGTGTATTATTTTTGTCTCATCATTTATATATCATAACAAACCTATACAGACCTTCATTACCTGTTCAGGCTTTTTCATTTTTTCAATTTTTGAAAATATCTCTATTTCCATATCCTTTTTAACATCTTTTACATTCTCATTTTCTTTTTTAATAATTATAAGACATAATAACATTAACAGATAAATTTCTCATCTGTTGTGAGAATTTTTTTCCTGGGGATACTAAGCAATGCTTATCCCCTTTTAAGGTTTTAGTGTCAAACCAATGTTTGGTTAAAGTTTTACCAGGGAAACAATAATTTTACTAAGCTTACTTACAGAGATGACTGAGGGGTTGCTGAGATGTATTGATGAGGGTATGCACACTGGAAAGCCTTTACCCAGTATGGGTCAAGCCTTCTCTCCTAGCCTTACCCAGACTGTATATTTTAGCTTCCTCTTCCCAAATCCAGGAGGACATGTGTGATTAGGGCCAAATTACATACAGTTGGCTTGGAAGAGTGGCCATATAATCTGGTGTAGGTTCAATGACCCCTGCTTGCCCCTCCTTTAATGAAGGAGCACAACCTTCAACAATCCCAGTTGTGACGGTGTTTAACATTCAGGCACAGCTGAAGTTGTGATGACGGTAGCTATTTCATGCAGATAAGACTGCTGTACAGCATCATCTTATTCAAAGAACGTGCAATGTAAAAAGATTTGGAGCTGGGCTCCACAAATGAGGGAGAACATATGTCTTTTGTTTTTCTGAGTCTGTGTTACTTCACTTAGTATTAACAGTTTCTAGATCCATTCATTTACCTGCAAATTTCATTATTTCATCTTTTTTTACTGCTGAATAGAAGTCTATTGTGAAAATATACCATATTTTTATTAACCACTCATCAGTTGAGGGGCACTTAGGTTGCTTCTATCTCTTAGCTATTATATTGGTTATATAATCAATCTACAAAAATCAGTAGCTTCTCTATATACCAGTAACAAGAAATTGGAGAAAGAGTACAGGGAAATGGTCCCATTCACAATAGCTCAAAAAATAAAAATAAATAAAAATAAAAATCTTTAATAAACCTGACAAAGACACCAAAGATCTTTACAATGAAAATTTTAAATTGTTAAAGAAAGAGATTGAGAAAGACACTAGGAGATTGAAGGACCTCCCATGCTCATGGATCAGAAGAATTAATATTGTGAAAATGACGATCCTACCAAAAGTAATATACAGATTCAATGCAAATCCAATCACAGCAAAAAAGTAGTTAATACAGTAGGTTTTGGCTTATGATTTGAGATCTTTATCATATTCAGGTACATCCTTTCTATAACTGATTGGCCTCGAACTTTAGCCAAGAAAGTGTGGTAAGCTTTATCAAGTTCCTTTTCTCTACCAACTGATAATTATACATTACCATTCATTCTTTATCATAATTCATGAAGTGTCACACTACATGTAAGACTACATATATGTGTATCTAACACACATATATGTAGATACATACACTCATTCTGTTTTATGTCATCTCCTTTAGTTAACAATGTAATTAAAGGGAGTTTTTAACTTAAAGTATTCATATTTTATTTAAAATATATATTTCTACATCATGCATATTAGTAAAATAGTTGTACAATATGATGGATTCTAATTTTTTCTAGATTCCAAAATTTCATGGGGTATATTTTGATCACAGTACCTCCAACCCAGATTTCCTGCTCTCTGTAATTATTGATCATTTCATTTACTCATTTTTTGTTTTGTTTTTCAAAGGTCTATTGATTCTAATTAAAGACTTACAAGTGCTTCTTAGTGTGGACCTGTGTCCTAGAATCTGGTCAATGTACTATGAATCACAAATATTTTTGAGTTTTGTGGAATAACAGATCAGATAGAGGGTCTTGTACACACAAGGCATAACTGAATTATAACTCCCAACTGCAAAATTTGTTTCTGATAAACCTGTTAATTAATTTTATTTTGCACCACCACTGCTTTCTACCACCTACTAAAAATTGCCTTCATTGACAGCACATTGCATTTTGTATGCTTTCTAAATATTAGAGTATACTCACATTTATACCATGTTTAGATCTCCCTCTCCTACATGAACTTCCCCTCACTACCTCTTGCCTAATCTCATGTGTACTTATATAGAGGTTCAAATGTATGTCCCAAAATGTCCTTCAGTGTAGGTCCATCCACTGGAGCCTGGCCAACCTAGCAAGAACCTCATCCTCAAAGGAGACTGACCCTTCCCCTCCCAGCAGCCGTCAGTTGCCAATGCTTTCTCAGGTAGGGTTGTTGTTTCTTGCCCATTGCCCTATACCTCTGCTGGGTTTTTGTCTGGATTGAGCTTGCAAATGCTGATGCCATTGCTGTGAGTTCATACAATTAGCAGATTAGCTGTCTTGAAAACTGTTTCCTTGTGATCGTTTACCATATCTGGCTCTTACATTTTTTTCTGGCCCTCTTCTTCAATGATCCCTGAGTCTTGAGAGGCAGAAGTTTGTATAGTTGTCTAATTCAGGGATTATCATTCTGTGTTATATTTTACTCTGCACATTGACCAGTTTAGATTTTGTATGTTAATCACCATCTGCTGTATAAGGAAGATTATCTTCTGAGAGTAGAGAGATGCATTAATCTACAGGTACTATAAATTATTAGCAGTCAGTTTAATTTTATATCTATTTAGTACAATAATAGTTTTAGGAACTCCCCTATGGCATATAACACATCTAACCTCAGGTTCTTATTCCTGATATTAAGGTCAGGTAGGGGCTCTATATATGAAGTAGACCTTAAATCAAACTAAAGAGTAGTTGGTTTCTACCAGAATATTCAACTACTATTGCACCAGTGGAAGTGTTTTGTCAGGAAAGTTGTTGTTTTAGCTCACAGGAATCATAGCTTGTTAAGGTTGATGATTAATTTTCTCTTCAGGTAACATGCATTAGTACCTTCCAGCACTATGGTATCTAGTCAGTAGAAATGAGGCATTGAAATCAGCACAGGTTGAATTCTCTTTGTTTTGCATTTCATATGTGCAGTGTTCTCAGCAAAAGGAACTTATTATGAAGATCTGGGGGGTAACCAAGAGCAGGCACAATGGCCAGTATTATTTGAGCACCTATAGAATTTTTGCTTAAAAATTTCAAACTCGAAAATCCATTCCTTGCTACCTTTTGCTTTTGGTGTTGAGTAGAAATAATGTCCCCTTGTTATAATAAAATTCTTTTGAATCCATTTGCATAATTGATTTATATAGACTTTAAGAACTTTCTATAGTGGAAGGTTGCAATAGAAAAATATGAAATGCTTCACATTTGCATATGCCTATCAACTTATGCAGGGGTTATGCTAATCTCTGTATTGCAAAAGTTTAATGTATGTGCTGCTCAAGCAAACACTTAATTTTTTTTTCTTTGTAGCCATTGCTGGCCTGGGAATTCTCTATGCAGAGCAGACTTACCTCAGAGAGACCTCACAGAGAGCATCCCGCCACTACCAACCCAGCACTGGGATTAAAGGGGTAACCCACTACACCTGAAATATGTTAAATTTTTTGACGAACCTCCAAACTGATTTCTATAAAGGAAGTAATAATTTGCACTCCTAACAGCAGAGACTAAGGGTTCCTCTTTCTGTATAACATTTATTGTAAGATTTTTTACTGTATTTTTATTGAATTTCTGTGCAATTTAAATAATAAACCTTAATTATGAATACACACCCATCCCCCGTATGCAACCCCATTATCACAGAATACAGAATTTCATTTGTTCTATTATATGTGATAAAGCCTATCAATAAAACTTTTGTACCCATTTGTCCCTCAGTGTGAGTTTATCCAGTTCATCAACTGGAGTCTAGTCAGCCTATCTATAGTCACTCCCTTAAAGAAGATCAACTCTCCCTTACCCAGCAGTAATCAGCTGCCTAATAGTTCATTGGCCAAGGTTGGGGTCTACTGCCCATTTCTCCAGTTCTATGCTTTTTGTTTTTCTCTGATTGAGTCTGCATGGGTACTGTGTGTGCTGTCACTATACTTGCATATTCATATGAGCAAGTTTCCAGAGATCTGAGAGACTCTGCTTCCTTATGTTCATTCACCAACCATGGATCTTACACCCATTCAACCCCTCTTCCACAATAGCTCCTGAATCATGGGTGGGTGAGTGTGGTGGTTTGAATGAAAATGTCCCCCATAGGCTCCAAATATTTAGACATTTTGTCCCCAGAGAGTGGCACTATTTGGGAGGTTTTACTAAGTGTGCCTATCCTTAAGAAAACATGTCACTTGGGTTGGGCTTAGAGAGTTCATCAGCCTTGCCAGATCTCCAGTTGCTCTCTTCCTTCCTGTGCCTGTGTGATGATGTGAGAGCTTAGCTTCTGCTGCTCCTGCTCCAGCCACTTCCAGCCACCATGCCTCCCTGCCATGACGGACTGTAATTCCCCTGGAACCGTAAGCTCAAATAAACTCTTCTTTCTATAAATTAATTTGGTCAGTTTTTCTATCACAGCAACAGAAAAGTGACTAATACAGTGAGTATTAATATAAGATTTCTATCCAGGGACACACATTCTACAATCTCTTATTGTCTACACCTTGGCATGTTGTACCCTTCTGTCTGCATCACACACTGTTCTATGAGGAAGCTTCACTCGTGATAGTTGAGGGGTGTACTATTATCTCTAACCCCTGTTCTGCTATGCTCCATGAGCCGTAGGTGTAGAGGTTTCACTATAGATGTGTCAATTAGGGCTGGGCATCTCTAGAATGCATATTCTTTGTGTGTGACCAGTTGTAAAACTCTGTAATAGCCTCCATATGCTGCAAAAAATAAGTTTCTTTGATGAGTGGTGAATTGTATACTTGTCTGTAAATATAAGGCTCCATATTTACCAATAGAGTAAGATATCACATTTGTCTAGAGATATGACAGATATAAGATTTTCTCTAGGATCTTTGAGGTCCCCAGCCATGTGTATTTGACTATTAAACACTGCCAACCATGAATTTTCTTCCACTGAGAGTGTTTTAATTCCAATTAGATAGCTGTTAATTACCCTCAAGTTGAAATGCACTGCTATAGATAGTTGAACCAGTCATGGTTGTGATTATTAGGCTTTAAAGTTTGGATTAGACCATTGATTGATTTGTGCCCTAGGCAGCTTGAATAATATTCTCTACAACTATAAGATTTAGTGTTCAATGAGATGATTTACAGGTCAATTCCAGCTCCATTGCTCCAAGTCCTGTGCCCAAAGTGTACCCTATCTTTAGCAATAGGGTCTTACCTTCGAGTTCTGAGAGGTAATCAAGGATTGGGGAAGTAGTCTGTTATTTTGGGAGTCTCTTGCACTACCTTGACCAACAACAACAAGATCACTTTCTCATGTCAGGCACTTTGTTTCTTGTTACGTAGCCTTCAGGCACATGCGTACACGTGTGTTAAGATATTAGACTATGTATACTTTTCAGTAGGTTTTTGAGATAATAATTTCCCTCTGGTTTTTGGCACCACTTAAGCTTTGTTTATCTCTTTTCTTATTCTCCTTGTCTGAAATTCCTACTACCTCCTCTGTTAAAATACCATTTTCTCATTTTCCCCTTGATAATACCTGTCTCCTATTATCCTAACCCCCTCTGGAGCATCTTCCTGTTTATCCCATGGTTCTTTTTATCTCTTTCCTTCCTCCCTTCTCAGTTGAGTGACCCTATTTTTCCCATTGGCCAATTGGTAATATCTATTTACTAATAGCTCTGTCTCTCTGGTTCTTTCTTTCCCTTTACCCCAGTGGCTCCTTCTCATTTTTCTGGCTTCTGCAATTACATCAGGACATATACTCATATATAAGGATTTGATGCTAACTTCTGCAAATGAGGGAATCTTGTTCTTGCTATATAGCAAGGCTACTGATTTTTGTAAATTGTAGCGTGTTACTTTGCTGAAAGAATTGATCATTTCTAGTAGTTTTCTTGTAGAATTTTGGGGGCTCTCTTACACATATCATCTGAGCTCTGCCTTTCCAATTAGTAATCCTTTAATTTCCTTCTCTTGTTTTATTGTTCTACCAAGAATTCCAAGCAAGTGAAGAGTGTGAACAACCTTTTCTAGTTCCCGATTTTCATGGGAATGCTTCCAGTTTTTCCCTCATTTAGGATGTTGGCTGTGGGTTTGTTTTATATAGCTTTACTTATGTTGAGATAGATATGTTTCCTCCAGTCTAATTTCATCAGGACTTTTAAAAAATATTTTTAATAAATTTTTTTGTGTATTTCATACAGAACAGCTCGAAGACTCTCAATCTTCTTTATACCCGATTCTCCACTGCCACCCTCCCACAGAAACTCCCCTTTCCACTGGAGTCCATATACTTGGTCATCCCTGCCAAACATGCATGTTGAATTTTCTCTAAGAACTTTTCTGCATCTATTGAGATGGCCATGTGATTTTTGTCTTTAAGTCCTTTTATATGATTGATTATACTTATTGAACTATGTATATTGAACCATACCTGCATCTCTGGAATAAAGCCAACTTGATCATGGTGAATGATCTTTTCGATGTGTATCTGTATGTGCTTTGGGAATATTTCATTGAGAATTTTTATTTTTATGTTCATTGCATTCAGTTTTTGCTGTGTCTTTACCTGGTTTTTGTATTAGCTTATTGAAGAAGTTTAGGAGTTCTGTTTCTATACTTTTGAATGATTTCAGTAGTATTGGTTGTACATCATTTGGATGTCTGGTAGATTTTTCTGTGAATCCATCTGGGTCTGGGCTTTTTTGAGTTAGGAGTTTTTGTATTGTTGTTTCAGTTTCTTTATTCATTATGTCAAATTCAAATTAACAAAATCAGAGATGAAAGGAGAAACATCACAACAGAGAGCCCTTCCAAAAAAAAAAAGAAGAAGAAGAAGAAATCGAGAGCATTATAAGGGCATACTTAAAACCTACACTCTGTTAATTATGAAAATCTAAAAGAAGTTAACGAATTTCTATATTCATGGAAACCAGCAAAGCTAAATCAAGAAGACATCAACAGCTTATACAAACATCTTGATGACAGAAATTCTGACTGGTGTTAGGTGGTATCTGAAACTGGTTTTAATTTATATTTCCCTGATAATTTGATTATTGAATATGCTTTAAAATAATTACTTCGAACTTGTATTTCTTCTTTGGAGAGCTGCCTTTCCATTTCATTAGGCCATTTTTTCCCCACTGGAAGTCTTCTCTTTTTGGTGTTTAATTTCCGTAGTTTTTCGTTAATTCTGGATAGTAGCAGCTCCCTATCTAAAGTACAGCTGGGAAGATTTTCTCACATGCTCTGGTCGTTTGCTCTGTTGATATTTTCTTTGACTATAAAGAAACTATTCATTTGATTTTTCATCTGTTCCATTTGTGTTTCATCTGTCTATTCATGACACTCCACCACCATTGCTAATCTTTACCTTAATTTTGACATGTTTTTTGGAAGTAGGAAGTAGGCTATAAAGAGGATCCTATTTTGATTCCTAAGAAACCATCATTTGTTCCCATGTGACAATAAAGTCATACTAGATAGTCTTCCTTTTAAAAATTCTTGTAACTTTTTAAGGTCCTATGCACCAAAATATGGTATATTGAAATGATCTAATATTTTTATATAATTATACATGTGTTATAACTATGTCACTAAATGTAAAATTTATTCTTTTATATATTTTTGATGTATCTACAAATTATAATGTTTGTCACAGTTTTATTTTACCCTGGTTTCATGCTGATGGCTAGAAACACTAGTTTTCCTCATTAAATATATGAACTTTAAGAGAAACTTATTAATTATAAAATTTATGAAATGTTTTAAAGATTGGACATGCATGAACATGTTCTAAGTAAATAATATCCAGTTCTGCTCCAACCTTCCATTCCTGTTGTTGTGCTGACTCGGTCTTCCAGCAAATCATTACATCAAAGTGATGAAAGCACACATCCTTGCTTTGTTTTGATTTGTTCTTCAGACCTTCTGTCCTTCACTATTAAATTAATGTGTTCGCTGCAGATGCTTCTGGGTTATGTTTAGATGGTGGGAGAATGCTATGATTTTCTTCTAGGAAAGGTGATATCAAGGGTGACCATTTAAAATATGTTTTCCTAAATCTTTTGAAATAAAATACCATTTGTTTGTATTAGATTATTACCGAGTTAAAATCAAATTTTGAATGCTTAAGGAACTGTATAAATAAATCCACTCTAAATTTATTCATGTATCATCATTTGTAAATATGGGTTCAATGATAAAAAAATTCAAGATTCTTGTTCTTATATTAACATGTTATTCCTTTTAAATAACCACATTATTTAGTTTTATGTAATGGACAATATTTATTTATTATTTTTATTTTATGTGTATGAGTA